TTAAAAATATATATTTTTATTGATTTCAGAGAGGAAGGGAGAGGAAGAGAAAGATAGAAACATCGATGATGAGAGGGAATCATTGATTGGCTGGCTCCTGCGTGCCCCCTACGGGGGATTGAGCCCACATCCCGCACATGTGCCCTTGGCCGGAATCGAACCTGGGATCCTTCAATCCACGGGTCAACACTCTATCCACTGAGCCAAACCACCTAGGGCTAGGTTGGTTAATTTTGAGAAGCCATGGGAGCAGCTCTGCAAACCAACTAGAAGTGGCCCTTGGTAAAAGACCTTTACATTTGTACAGATGATCCCCATTTGTAAGGGGGTTGACCTTATCTCTGGACACACTCATCGATGCAGAAGACAGAGATGTAGACCAGCGCAACAACCTTACCCTTGTTTATGGTGCTTTTCCAGGGGACCTCCCATAGCTGACACCCCCAAGCCCAGCATCTTCTTTGTCTTCAGCTGAAGATGGCATTTAAGGTGGTAGCTTCAGCCATCTTGGCTGATTATTCAGTTTTCCTGGGTCTCTCCCATGTATACAGGAGGTATTCATGTTATTAAATCTTAATTTGTCCCCTACATACAGGCAACTTTGGAACTGTCCCCTCCCCCCGCCCCCCACACTCACCCCGGGTCTGGAAGCCGGCTCTCAAATCTGACCCTTGGTCGAATCTCTTAAAATACTGCCTCAGCCCTGCCGAGTTTGCCAGGACTCACCAATAGGATGTAAACTCGGAAGAAAAGCTGGGGTCAGAGAATTCAAGTTGTAGGTGGGTAGGTTTCAGCTCTGTGGAGTAAAGGAGGCGCCGTTGGAAAGCAGGGACCCACCATTGGGCATGTGCAAGAAGTGACTGGAGGGGGCCACCCCTCTGAGTGGAGCAGGGGAACATCTATACCTTGAAGGGGTTGTGGAACCTGCAGAGACTTCATTTCTTTCATATGAACGTTCTCCTTTCTTGCCTTTTGATTCAAACTGGCCTCATCCAGCACCCTGACTCACCTGCCCCTCTTCCCTTGCAGGACCACTCCCTTAATCATTAAGCCCTCAGGACAATGAGGTTCTGATCAGCTTCAAATAATCTGAGGAACAAAGCCTCAGGTCTGTTGACTCCAGAGACAGAGAGTTCTGGTCAAACCAGAGATAACATCTAGGCCTCAGTTGTGTTTCAGCTCCAGGCCCAGAGAAGAAGCAAAACCAGATGCTGCAATGCCTCAGCTGACATGGCGGCCAGATGCACTGATCACCGACCCTGCCCCAGCACGGACCAATCAGCAGAGACCACGACCCTGCCCATGACCCTAACTCCCTTAGTCACCGTGATTGATGATTTCCCTCTTGAGGAGCCCATCCCCTGGAAGCTATCGGGAGCCAGGTCTTTGAGCATTAGCTCACCTGTCTCTGCACATGGGCCACTTCCTAAAAATAAGCCCTTACTTTTTTGTCTACAAACTCCTGTTCATTTCTTATTGGGCTTTGATGAATGAAGACAAACAGATCCTTTTAGTATGGTAACAGTTGGAGGCTATCACCTCAAAAATCTCTTCCAAATCAGATCTCCCCAGAGGCCAAGAACTGACACCACCAAGTGGCCTAGGGCCAGCCAAGGATGTGCCTCTCCATGTGGCTGTCCATTTTGTCTTCCAGAAAATAGTGATGGCGTCCCAGGTTTAACCATCGTGAGCCTGTTTCTTCAGCTGTAGGATGGAGCGAGTTAAAATAGAGTATCAATTGTAAAAGCACTTGAAAATGTAAATAGGTTTTGAAGGAAAGAGACAAAACTGTTGACAGTGGTTATCTCCAAGGAGTGGCCTTAAATAAAGACTTCTGAATTTTTTCAATGAGCATGTATTACTTTACAATAAAAATGAAGATTTTAGAATATCACATATAGTGTCTACTGATTCTATAATGACATATGAATCCATAGATTTTTTTTTTCTTGTGAATTTTCTTTTATTGGGACATAGGGGGTGGGTAACTTGGTGGTTATACCCCACCAGGGTACTGTCCATAGATATTTTTCTATGAAAATATACATCCTTTCAGTCTTTCTCCCCTTTTGGGATGATACTATTAACTATTATTTTATGAGTTAACATCATTCCATGATATAGAGCATTCTTTGATAACATTCCTATAAGAATGTATAGAAATTTATTTATCTGGATCCTTATTGTGGCTTGTCTCTAGTTTTTCCATATTACAGTAAATCCTCGATTTTAGGGACCTTGATTTAATGGACTTGGATTTTAACAGACGAAATTTCTAGCCCATATACCGGTATCATAAGTGAAAATTAACACCCTGTTAATTTTTAAATGTTTTTAACCAAGATTTGCTTATAATTAAATTAACAGGTTATTTATTTATTTATTTATTTATTCATTGTTATTTTTAACAAATTTTAGTGACTAGGCCATATGTTGGAAAAAACACTAGTAATTTCACTGACATAAATATTACATAGCTACAACTAATAGTCTACATATTTAAATCCAAGAGTCACCACTGGTAAACAATGTTCAGGGAATGATGAGCATGCGATCACACAGCATCGCTTGAAGTAATTGGTGCTGTTGTCACGTGGCGCGACTTTCTGTAGCAGTTTTAACATAAGTAAAAACAGGTAAACTAATTTGTCAAATTTTTAACATACGCATTCAGAAAACCTACTTTATTATGTAACAGACTTTCGGCTTTAACAGGCACCCCCTCGCCCCAATTAGCCCGTTATATTGAGGTCTTACACCATAAACAATACTGTGATGATCATTCTTGCATCTGTTGTCTGATTATTCCCATAGGATGACTTCCTGGAAGTAGAATTGTGGGTCCAAGGAAAAGCACATTTTCCAGGTTTCTGATTCTTATTACCAAGTCGCCCTCCAGAAAGATGGTACCAATTATGTGTCTGCCTACAGTGTAGTGTTGAAAATATTTAAGTGCAACACATGGAAACAATGGAAATTTAAAATAAACCACAGCAGCTGGATGGCTTCCCTGTTGGACAACCCAAGAAACGGAGCGGAGGAGGGAGATTCTTGGTTCAGGCCCTGGACTCACTCTACTGAAACCTTCGAGCCCTCCGCATTTTAGCCCCTTGTAGGATTCAGGTACACCCTCTCCACTGGGGCAGAGCTCACTCAGGCACCTCGTGGCATCAGCAGGAGAGGACACCCTCCCGCTAGCTCCGCCAGGCCCACTTTTTCTGAGCCACGTTGATGGAGTGAGCGGATGGCCCGGCCAGCCCGGCCTTCTTCATACCTGGCCTGCCGCTGGAATGAGATCCTTTGCGGCTGGCCTCACTGTCCTTCCTCCAGATGACCTCAAGCTGGTTGGGGATCTGCCTGCCTAGAGCAGAAGCCCAGACTTTCCCTGCTCCTTGTGCAAGAAGAGGAACTGAGGCAGGATAGTTAGATGTTAGGAGAATTTTGACAAGTGGGAAAAGGGAAACTGAGACAGGTGGTTAGACAAACAGGGCCAAACAAGTCAAGCCATTGACAGCCAGCTAGTAAATCGCAAAATCTCTCCTCTAGCCAAGGACACTTGAGAGCAAATGGCTTACACCTCTCCTCCCTAACCAGAGGGAAAATAGTTTAAATCACTCTGGTCAGGGAGCTAGATAACAGAGACCCAGTTAGTGCCATTAGTGCCAGCCAAACCCAAGGACAGATGACGTCAGAGGAATAAATACCAGAAAACCAAGACAGAAGCAAAGCTGACCAGAATATGACCCTG